CATATGAATTGATCGACAAAGGAGTTCCAATTTTTCTAGATTCGATTTCCAAATTTGGTAATAATCCTGACTGCAATAATAACTATTTTAAAGTAATACAAATAAATATCTTTGATTAAATTATAGATTCATTGAATTTCTTTATTTTTCTTAGTTACATTTGTGTTCAGATAAAAATTATTAATTAATTAATTAATTACAACTACACTTTCTCTTTAAATCAATCAATTATGTATTATATCTTTACAAGGGAAAAGGGAAAGAATAATTGATAAAATGATGATGATAAAGTATTTTGTGTAGTAAATTTACAAATATTACAAAATTAGAATTGGGGAAAGATTGTATAGTAACAGAAAACCTTACATATAAGTAAAGTTAATAAATACCTTGATTTTGTAATATAAATTTTCTTCAAAAATAATTTTTCGATGCATGGATAAAAAGATTTTGAAATTGAGAGTGTTCTTACTGTTATATATGATAATATTATCTATCATTTTGAGTATAACCTTTAGATGATACAACAAAGAATCTTCTTCCCTACCAACTCAAACAACCTTTATTTATTATACTACTCACCATCATTGTCATTACCATTTATATCGATAATCATGACGGTTTTGTCAATAAAGAACAATTATAATGTACTTTTATTTTATGATAGAATCAAAAAATCTAAAGAAATCAATTTTGATTGTGATTCGTCATTATCACATAATCTTTACCATCTAATCAAGTAGATAAATTTACTATGGAATAAATTTTATTATAGACAAACTATATGAAATATCATTGATAAAGAAAAATGACCAGGTTAAAATTTTATTAATGATTATTAATGGTGATTTAAATAGTCAAGGACTTTACATGTGGACCTAAGTTGTCTCATTAGTTAGTTGAAAAGAAAATGGGATTGATGGTAAAATTTCGCTAATGGTAGTAATATTTACGTAAAAATTCTTTTTTGTTTTGTTTGTAATTAAATAAATAATTTATTAAATAATTAAAAAAATTAAAAAGATATTTACATGTTATACATTTCCTGAAATTTATAATTAATAAAATTGATCGTTAATACATTATGTGCACGAAAATTGTGTACAGCACACTCCTTGAATCTCAAATGCACAATTACAGTGATTATACGAACACGTAAACTTGTCTATTGTACAGCCTGCGTTATTCCATATTTTAATATTACAAAAGCACATGGATTTAATTTAAATTGACATTTTTAATTGAACCATAAGAAGGTTGTGGTTTGGTTAAATTTTCCGTTTCATTGTTATCAACATCATTGTTGTCGTTGTCGTTGTTGTTGTCACCCCCATTATTAATATTGTCATTGTTGTCATTAACGACATTGACATCTTCTTCAAAATATATATTATTATATTTTAACAATTCAGCCCTACGCTTACTGTCAGTTGTTACAATAACATAGGCAATCCAGTGTATTTGGCTTAATGCAAACGATAAAATCAAAAATATGATTTGCATTGTTCCCAAGTTCTTCTTCAATTGGATTAAATAATTTACCTTAAATATTATATACAATGAAGAAAACTGTTCAAAAAGAAAAAATTATTGTTAAAAAAATTATTAAATTAATAAATTAATTATATAATATATTCATGAATTAACATCACTTACACAGCATACACCTGCCAATATCGAACGTAATTCTCTTATCTTGTTTGATGATGCAATGCACATAACTGTTATAAATCTAATGAAACATAATATTACTAGGCCCCATTGATATGATTTTAGATCACCATTATGTTTAATAAGTGAATAGATCATATATAAAGTTACCAGAGATAAATCAAGTATGGCAAATAAATATAATATATTGACACATTTAGGTCTAGTAGGTGTGGCAGTTTTTCTAAGTGAAACCAATAGAAATGGATCCTCTTCAACAGTTTCAAGATTATTTTCATCAATGTTTATTGTTGCTGATGAAGAATCAATGGAATCTTCTACTGCAGTTATCTTTTGTGCTGCTGAATCACCATTACCGTTATTGTTATTGTTGTCGTTATTATTTTTAAACATTGAGGATTCTGATGAAGTTCCATGTTGTGAAAATGCTTGTTCATTAGAGGCCGCAACTGTTGTATAATTATTTGTTATTGGTTCCATAATATTTTTATTGTTCAAAAAAATTTTTTTTCTTCAAAATTATATTGCATTTATATATTAATATTATAATAATTTTATTTGACAAATTTATAATTCAGGGGTAGTAATCAATTCTACAATTGGTCAAAATTATTATTATCATTTTTTATTATATATGGGGCATGCTGCAACAAAATCAGACAAAGTGAACATTGGTATTATCAAGAATTTCAGGGATCAAAATTTAGTCATCTTTAATGCAATTATAATTAACAGTTTTATAATGACCCATTTTATATTTTGGTTGATATAGAACTGACCCCTGCATAAAAATAGTTGATATGAAACTCATTTACATTAGGTCTACCATGGAACCCAAGAATTATAGTACTATCAGAAGTATTTTGAAGAAAGAACAAGGTGAAAAAATTGCTCCTTATGTTTTTAAAATAAATGATACTCAGACATTGGAAGCTTATCTAAGAAAAGAAAGGATTACTTATGAAATTTACCAAGAAGAAAGAAAAATAATAATTGTTGGAAAAGAAAGCATCATGATAATGCATTATTACCTAATAAAAAGCAAAAATCTTTAAAAGGAAAATAAATACCATTTTCTTTGATGGTTGGAATGAATTTCAATTTATACAGAGGGAAATTTCCTCAATTACTTTTTTATTTTCAATCAAGATCATCTTTAGTCTCCTTGACTTCAATTTGAGCAGTTAGTTGACCATTCTGTTGATCTTTTAATTTCCTGTTTTCTTCTAAACTTTTTATCTTATCTATAACTCTTGTTTCTGTTTTTTACTTCACTCTTCAGATTTTTCTTGAAATTTGGCTACTTCTTCTCTTTCAATTTTTAAGTCTTCTTTGGTAATTGATAACTCTTTTTCTAGTTCTCTAGTTTTATTTTCTAGGCAAAAACTGAAAGCTTGTGAAAGTAGTTCTTTGTCAGAAAATGGTTTAGTTGGTTTAGCTTTTAAATGACTACAAAAACATCTGTTTCTATTCCTTTTTAACCTACCACATTTCTCACATCATGGAAGTGTATTATTATCATAATCGTTTTTACATTCACCACAGATAAAGACAATGTCAGAATAACCATCAGGAGTATTATGAGCCACCATTTGATGAGTAGCAGGAGCAGTATCAAAATTAAGGAGAGTTGGGCCATCAAAATCTAGAAAACAGAAGATACACTCTTGCTCATCTCCCTGGGTTATTTCTAGAACTCTATATTCTAATCTCATATTAAATTACTCACTTTTCTGAACAATGAAAGTTTGGAACTTCTTAATCTTTTCTTTTACTCTGATTACTAATTTTTTGAGCCTGTGTAATCTGTTTTCTTTTTGTTGTTTTGGTAAAGCTGGTAATTCTTTGCTTTCTAAATAATCTCTTCAATTTATTTTTTGATCTTTAGCCAACAAATTATTTTCCAATAAATTTATTCGGTCTTGAAGTTTGCCCATTGCAGCATCATGCTTCAACACAGTTTCAAATATTTGTCATTTTCTCCATTCCATAGCTTTATTTAGTGCTTTTTCAGCCTCTTCTCACTCCATTCACACTTCATCATCTAATTCTTCTACTCTTGCTTCCAATTCCTCTTGTTTTTCTTTTAACTCTTGATTAGTTTTCTCTAACTCAGCATTTTCTTTTTCTAAAATAGCATTCTTTTCTTCTAATTCCTTTTTTAAAATAAAGTTCAAAAAAATGCTCATGATATCATGCTTTATTAGCAAAACTTTCAATAACATTCTCAGGAGTGAATTCATCATTGAAAACTACTTTTCCAAATTCAGTTAAATTCCTTTCTGGATAATTTACTCGACCATTTTCAGGTCAAGTAAATCTTTGTAAGGTTTTTAAAGTTAAAACATTATATTCTTTAACAGCATTGTCAACTGCATTTCAAATTGTTAGTTTAAGGTTTTCTTCTTTTTCAATTAGTTGCTTTTCTAAATCTTCAATTTTGTTTAGCAATTCTTTATCTGCTTTTTGTTGTGTTTCTATGATGTTTACCATGGTTTAGCTTTTTTTTATTCTTTTAATATACTTATATCCTTTTCATAAGGGCATATTAAGTATATAAATTATTTTAGTACTTTTTTACTTTAAAGGTGGGAAAAGCTAACAAAGATTAAACTTATTAAACTTAATGACAGTGATGATAAATTAACAAGTGATGAAGTCATTAGAGGTGATTTTATCCTAAATATTTATTCATTGCCAGTATAGATTGGTTTGGGCAAGTAATATCTTTGAATTCATCTCTAACAAATAGATGAATATTCTGGTAAAGATATTCTTGCCTTTTGTAATCCAAAGGAGGTGTTGTTATCACTAAAATAGATAAAGCTCTAATTTCTTCAAAGATATCTGCTTTCTTGGTTTTCAATAAATTTAACTCAACAAAAGGTCCATTAGCAACTTCTTGAACTTTTACTGTACCAAGATTAGATGCTTCAAAAAGAAAATGTTGGTATTTCTGTATACTTGGTAATTTCTTAAAATAAATTCCCAAAATTACTTTAATATCTAAGTATTGAAAACCTTTTCCATCTTCATAACATTGTGCTTTATTCAATCCTGCTGGACTAGATCTTTTCACCACATCAACCAGATGATCTACACAATCTACTCTTGTTTTTCTATAAAGTTTTTTAATCAATCCAAAACTACCATCACATTTGAATTTGGTGTGCCCAGGAATCATGAAATTTAATTCAACACTTTCATAATAACCACAAATTATTAAATACAAGTAAAACCAAATTGTTACATTATCTTTATTTTGTCCTCTAGCATTATCACAAGTAATCTTTAAATGCTTTTCACCTTTATTCAATTTTTTAATTCCATCAAAAATCATGCTAAGTGTGCCATTGGGCCCTTTTCCTATAATTCATTTTCATTAAGAACATAATTGATTTGTTCCCTTACTGCTTCATCTTGAACACCAAATAAATGAACTTTACATGGACTAAGGTAATAGATTTTACTTACTTGTTGATCTGAATGGGGTACACAGACATTTTGGGCTCAATCATAACTATAATGAGTAGTAGAATCAATGCTGCAATATTGTGATTTACCTTGAAAATAATTTTGGTCAACTAGTTTTCTTTGTTCTTCTGCTAATTTGGTGTTTTTATTATAATAATTTCTTTCTAATCTTGCCTTAGATAGATGTTCTTTAAATCTTTTGAGTAATTCTTTAGCTTCTCCTTCTTGGTGAGCATTATAATGTAAAACATCTCTAAAATGCTGACAAGTATCACACAAATCAGTCCTGGGACTCATAATTTGAATTTCTGGTGTCAATTGATATCATAATTTTCTGAAAACATCATATTTTAATAATTTCAACTTGCTATCTTTTTCTAGACTAGCTAAAAAATCTCTGTGCACTGATTTATAACTCATTTCAGTTGGTAAGAATACAATTGATTGAGTTATTCTGTTGATACTTCTTCCTGGACTTGGTAATCCATGGACTTCTGCATAATTTTCCAGAAAATTCTTTACAATTTCAGCAACACCTTTGTCAATCACCATTTTAGTTTTCCATTGAGGCATTCTTTTAATATTACCATGAATTCTTGGTAAAAGACCATTGTTTATCAGATGATTTCTAATATTTTCAAAATTAGTTCTACCAATTCCTAACATATTGAGATAAGTTTCTTGACAAAGTAATGTATTGTGATTTCAGTGATAGAAAGTCTTTTTATTGGATCTAGTTTTCTTTTTAAGGCGTCTGCTAGTGCTTATTGATCCACCATCCATTGCTTTAATCTGGGCCATTAAAAAAATGTCTTGTTCTGGTTTAGTGAGAGCCTGAAAGGATTCCCTTAATTCTGCAAATTGTTCTTTGGGAATTCTGGAAAAGCAACCACAATCACAACCTTTTTCTAAAAAATCAATTGCTTTTTGATATTCATTAGAACCATTATATTTATTATTATTTTTCATATATACACTTATCCCTATATATATAATTTTATGTTCACTTTGTAAGTTTTTTTATAATTGGTTTAAAATTGAAGTATATGAATGGAATTAAATCTTAGATGAATCAGTGGAATAGGTTTAAGTAAATGATTTAAAAAATATGGTTGTTCAATAATTTATGAAGAGAAATTGAAAAATTTGGTCAATTGGCCCCATGAAAAATAATTATGTGCAAAAATTTCATGTTTCTGATTTTTTTATTAATATTAATAATAATTTAGATTTATCAAAAAAGATTTACAATATTAAAAATCATTATTATAAAAACATCTTTTAAAAAAATTTTATACATTTAAAATAATATCATTTCATTTAAAAAAATGAATGCCATTTAAATTGACTACCACCTGTGTGATTGATTCAATCATTAATGCTAAATAAACAAATGATTTCAGAATAATACCTTTCATTGCAAGAGTGGAATAATTACTTTTTAAATATAATTATATATATCTTTAATAAAGCAAACATGACTTAGCTACTTATCATTTCCTTGTATCTGAATGCCTCCATCCATCAAATATTCATGATGGTCATGATTATTATTCAATACATTTGATGCTATAATTGACATAACAAACAATTGCATCACCCAAGTAGTAATAACACCAAGGCCATGCATAAATGAAACTTTTAATAATGCGTGTCTACCCAGATCTCTGGGATTCACAATAATAAATTACTTTTCCTGATTATCAATCATGGTTCCTTATGAATAATAAATCTGATGTTAATTACAGGTGTCAGATTTAATTGAAATTTCCTGTCACAAACATGCAGTCAGGTGCTTTCACACGCTTCAGCACCATGGAGTTTTCTCCACAGTTGAAGCACCCCACATGTTGGAAGGCTTTGGACAAAACATTCCCTTATCTTCCCCTCAGGCCAGGCTGGGCTGTTACCATATGGAGCATTGTTTGCTGATGAGTTGACATTCATGTGATGATTACTTTGTGTTATACCCTTCCAGTACAAAGTTGGTGTTAAGACTGGCTTGA